TGAACGCAAACAAAATAAAGTCCAATCCAGAGATGACTAGAAGAAGTTTATTCCTTTGAAAACTCTTTGTACCATCATGAGTATGAAATAGAGCTAATTTCATTCCAAAACTTTTATTTTTACACAAAGGAATACTAAAATATGATTCAACTAAATATATGTGTAATCCCAAGTTCAAACGACACTCGGCGAACTCAAGGAGTTCAAGCAAATGATCATTAATATCTAGTCAACACTCAAGGAATATGAACCAAAGCAACAAAACTTATATTGACAAAAGTCATCCGGTTGGTAAAATGTAATGAAAAAATCTACAGCAGGACTAGTCGCCTACCGACATTATTCATAAGAACCAACTAGCAATGCCCAAGCGTCAATAAAAACCTATGACCCTAACTCAGCCCTAGCCAAGCCTTGGAAATAGTTCCCTACATATTAGCAATAAGATCCGAGGTGGGTGGCTAGCAAATTATCCATGTAGCAAGTTTCAACGGTATCCCCCGTAAAGGCTTCGACAATATTCGCTTAATATACTTGGAAAAAAGAGAAGCCCGTCTAAGGTGATGACCCAACCAAGCAATAAGAACTTATGAAGTATGAGACTTAAGTCAGACGGTATTATATCAAAGGAAACTGATAATCTATCTTAAGAATCCAAGCTATCAACCATCAGAAGCATTTATCATAAACAAAAAAGATGTGATAAAAGAAGCATTTATCATAAGTAAAAAAAGATGTGATAAAAAGCACACCGCAAATGTAAAACCAGTCAAAAGGTTCATTTCATTTCAGGAATAAAATGTTACAAAAAAATTCCTTTTTTAATTTTTTCTAGGATTTATAATCAATTAAAAGAAGCAAAAATTTTTCAAAGTAAAAGCCTAGTCAAGCATTGGATGATCTTGCATCATTCACAGTACTCTCATCTTATGACTCAGCATTGGATGATCTTGCATCATTCACAGTACTCTCGTCTTATGACTCCTTCCTATCCTTCTCTTCTGCTACCAAGGCAAGGAGGAGCTTGAAGAACTTATCCAAATCCAATCACCTGAGATTAATCAAATCCTCTTGTATGAACTTGTCAATTACCAATTTTGTCTCAAACTCAAGTTGTGTAGCTTGACCACCAAAAAATTATACTTGCATCCTCATCGTTGTTAACTTGTCCTTCAGAGTTTTCTTCGCCTCTCAGATAGAGAATAGTAACTCCAACATGCTATGCATCTCAGTCTTAGCTTCCTCCAGTGGCCTCTCTGCTACAAGTGTCTGCCTCTCAATGACCTCTACCTACTCTTTAGGTGACATTGCTTGTTCCTCTGCTCCAAAAGAATTATTCTCAGCTCTGTAATACTTCTTATCAAATTCTATAAAGAGTGTCAATTGAAAGTGAGAAACCATATGTGTTATCAATTGATACTATTTAACTGACTTGCATAAGAGCAGAAGACTGAGCTCGCTGAGGTATATTTCAAAGTTGAGGAATAGAGGATGTCCCCAACTATCAAGGTATAGAGAGAGCAGTGGCCAAACTATTCAAGTAACAGTCCCTCCTCATTTTGACGGGGGAAAACTGCTCATCCTTGTGTAAACCTTGGCTTTCTTCCTCTACATAAAATGACAAGGGGAAACCCTTCTGCTTTTTCTCAGGAAGGGGAGGAGGTGAGGTGCTTTTATCAGTTGCTAGAACCTTCCTCTTTTTATAGTAGATTTTATCTTCAAGAGTGACAGTTTCACGCTCTGTTTTATGTTCAGATTGAGCCACCAAGAAAAGCCGACTAGCTTCCACTTTTTCTGCTAATGAAATGTAGCCTATAGTAAATTCTAGAGGGGTTGTTGGACCTGCATCGGAACTTTCCTCCAAAGGCTCCTCCACAACATCGCTTATTGTCTAAACGCTCGGGGTCTTTTCAACTTCGTGTGTTGCACTTGAAAAGGACCTGCATCAATTAAGAAACTCTTTGGCTTTCTATCAATAAGTGGCAGTTTTCCAGTTGAGACTCAATGGATCACAACCGTAGACTCAGAAATAAAAAATATATGGTCCACACCTCTTGGGCCTTTCACCAGCACTAGCTGTCGATACCCCCCAACTTGTAGCTGCTACAAGGCGGGTAGCCTTACCCTTAGTTTTTTTTGTCTTGGAGACTTGAGTGGCTTTATCTGCCTCTCGCTTGGCTTATTGAACGTGTAACTCTCTTCACAGAGCCACAATCATTGCACCAAACATGTCTGGCTACTGAACCAAGTTGACAACCACTAACTTAGTGTACTGATGGACCGAGTGTCACCTCCCTTCAACTTCCTTTTTCCCATTTTTGGTTCGAGAAGGCACAACCTTTTTCTTGTACATTTCTCTAGTTGGGATATGTTAAATTTCCCAACCACCGAAGGAGGATCCAAGAAAGAAACACAGCTTCCAGTCCTTTATTTTATTTTTTCAGGTCGAGCAGTTGGAACTTACCAACCGAGCTATGATGAATGTAGCTGTCTTGATCGACCCTGAATGAAAATACATAAGTGAAGAGCTCTAGTGTCCATGAGATCCCCATTTGATGGTATAAATTATGTATGTCATTACATCGACTGTTGAGTTGGGCTTAATCTAGCGGAAATCACTTTGTAGTGATTAAAGATCGACCACAGTCCATGTAAAAATGGAAGCCACAAACCCCATCTGAACTAGCCTCTGTAAAATACGACATCCATTTTGAACTAATTGGTCCTCTGATTATATCCTTCAATGACCTAGAGCTGAAACTCATTATTGAAGATGCAGGTATCTTGCAATAGAGACAACTCCTCGGGTGACAAAACCAACCTATCTATTTTGGGGACCAACCCAAAAAAATGAAGCAGTACTTGGGAGTCATCCGAAAGAGGAAAAGAGGAGAAAAATACACAAAAAAAAAGATAAAAAAAGAAAGAAACAAAGAGCAACCCTCAACCCTTATAAATATGGTACCATGGGGAGTGAAACTGTTACAAAATTATGCTCTATTTTGAAAGTGTGTGTTGCATCAAAATAAAATTGAAGAGGAAAATAATTAATAAAAAACACACTTTTATTTCAAAAATATTAAACTCAAAATTTATTTGGAAAGAATATATTTTATAAGCTGTTCATCTACCACTTTAGTCGAGATAAGCCCTCACCAAAGTAGCCTCTTATACAACACTGCTCCCAAAATTTAAACCTATCTATGCACTCGAACTCGACCAAGATCTGGAGCATCGAGCTCGTCTCCCAAACATTATCCAGCTCTAGTCGAAAATCCACCAATTCCTTTTATAACTCTTTTATTTCCATCTCTTGTTGCATTTAACATTCCATGTGTAGGAGTCCTCCATCCGTCGGAGCAGCAGACCATCGATTCAGAGGAAATCTTGCATCCATGAGCCCTCTTTCTTCAAGCTGCAAGAGGATTGACTGGGCGGTCAACCACGTTCTCTTTACTCCTAGCCTGCATCCGGTTTTGCATAATTGGTTCTGGATGTAAGCCCTAGCCAGCAACCCCTAGATGAGAGTCAATGATCTATGTCACCTCATATGCAATAAAAGATAGTATAAGTAAATAAAAAAAAACTTGTCTAGCCATAAAGATTGAGTTTCCACTTACCAAGGTGTTGATCTACCTCAGACCATCAAATCAGTAAACTACTCTCACCTGGTGGTTGTGGGGCGCTTGTAATCCTCTACCCCTCGATCAGCAATAGAGCACCAGCGGCTTCGTGTGCTTTGGTTATGAAGCTCCAATGGCTCCATGCATATAGTTCAGCAGACTAGTCATGTATCGCAATAGAAGGTTAGGTCAAGAGGTTTGTAGCCTAGGAGCCAATCCTGCTTCCATCTTTTGCCCAATCCTTTTTTGAGGACCTTGAAGTGAATTTGATGATCCCACTTTATCTGTTGGCTCGATTGCCTTCCAGTTCTTGGAAGCAATATTATTTTTCCGCTCTTCACTCTATGACATGCTTCCTCTCTCCGATCTCTCTTTCTCTCGGGTCTCTTCTCTCATTTTTTTTGGCCCCAAGGTGGGATTGCAACACAGAACGTTCAAAAACGCCTGCACCATTTTTGCACTGAGGACCCCTCCTAAAGGTTTTAAAGTGTTTGCCATGGAGATGTTTCAATGATGATTGACTCGGACAAGATGTAAAGTAAACGTGGAATAATAAATTAGTTACGCTCATGGTAATATAAATCAATGAAGCTCAATTATTAAAGCTCTTATTATGAAATAAATGTAATCTCTTTTTTGTATTTAATTTTCTTATTTTTATTGCAGCTGTCACTTTCAAGAAGAAAGAGAATCTGAGAACTAAATTATGTACATCAAGAATAGAAGATCCAAATAAATAAAAGATAGAAAAGTGCAGCTAAGGGCCCATTGGCGGAAGACCAAATAATCCACTTGACTAAATGCAATCCTTTAAACCGGGGCTAGAACCCAACAGAATGTAGGTCATTTAAACCAAGGACTAAGGTTAATCAAGCCAAGCAGAGGCAACGACCTACCTCTCGCCACAACCCGACTCAAGTGAAGAGTTCAGTATTGTCAATTGTCTTATGAATTCCCTTGAGATTCTTTATCGAGGCCAAAGATTGACAATAACATAACCAACAAGCATCCCCAAGAAGCCTATCATCAATGAACTATCTGTCGTATTACGGTGATTCAACCTCAACTTAATAACCTAATCTCATTCTACCGATAGAAGCTCCACATATAGGGATTGATAATTATTATTTTAAAATGAAATACATCTTTTTATGTGTAGAGTTATGACACCCAGTGTCACAAGTGTAAATATCAAAGTTTTAATGGTATATATACAAAATACATGAGAATTGTGCGGTATGTAAGCAAATTTCCTTTAAAAAACCGTTCCGGTTCCCTCCCTCTCTTTATAAATACACCGCACAACAAGAAGCCTTCATTCATATCTTTCCCACGTATTAATTCGTCTCCTCGACTCCTTCCCCCCATCTCCTCTCCCCTCCCCCATCTCCTCTCCTCACTCATGGCTTCCCTTCTCTACCCCAACAAAGCTCTCATCCTTCCCCGAGAACCACCCGTCATATTCCGGCGAGACCAACCCCATCCCTTCCACGACCTCTCCGACAACCACTTCTCATTCCCCTGCTTCCCCCTGCTTCCCACCCCCAAACCAAAAGCCGTCTTCGTGCTCGGCTCTTCCGGCACAGGTAAATCAAAACTGGCCATAAGCCTCGCCCTCCGCTTCTCCGGCGAGATCATCAACTCCGACAAGATGCAATTCTACGACGGCCTCCCCGTCATCACCAACAAAGTCACACCTGAGGAATGCGCTGGCGTTCCCCACCACCTCCTCGGTGGCATACACCCCGAAGCCGACTTCACCGCCGCCAAATTCTGCCGTCTCGCCACCGCAATCTCAGATCAAATCACGGCACGTAACCACCTCCCGATTATCGCCGGCGGATCAAACTCATATATAAAGGAGCTAATCGACGTCGACTTCACACGCCGGTACGACTGCTGCTTTATTTGGATGGACGCGGAGCAGGACGTGTTGGATGAGTTCGTGGCTGAGCGGGTGGATAAAATGGTGGAGAAAGGATTGGTAGAGGAAGCAAGGGGGATATTTGACTTTGAGGCGGATTATACGAAGGGGGTTAGGAGATCGATAGGGGTGCCGGAATTGCATCAATTTTTCCGGCGAGAGGCGGAGGTTGATGAGTTGGAGAGGAGGATGATGCTCGAGGAAGCGATTGGGGAGATAAAGGCGAGTACTTGCAGGCTGACGCGAGTGCAGAGGGAGAAGATAAGGAGGTTTGAGGCGGATGATGGGTGGTGGCTGAACAGAGTGGATGCGACGGCGGCGTTGGTGTGGCGGAGCGCGGCGGTGGGAGGGTTGGTGTGGGAGGAGACGGTGGTGGGGCCGAGCATTGAGACGGTGAGGAGGTTTCTAGGAGGTGGTGGTGGTGGAATTGTTGGAAGGTGTGGCGGCGCGGTGGAGTTCGGCGAGGAGAACATGACGGCTGAGGTTGTGGCGTCCACTAAATGAGTCTAGGCAAAATATTAGGTGCGGAGTCTCCGAGATTTCATTACAATCAATCCATTTATGATCATACTCGTGAATATAATCATGTACAATATGATTATATTAAAGTTCGCATGCACACAGACTCCGCGCTTAATATTCTCTTTGTTTGAATTGAAGTGATAGATAAACATAAATGAGGTCAAATTTGTGACTTTTTGACTATGCAAAAAAAAATAAAAAAAGTAACAATTAAATTACTCAAATTTTTAACATTGAAGAAATATATGATTAATGAAAAATAGTGCATTAAAATGTATAATGTATCCATTTTGTATTAGTTATGTTTTCACTTAGGATGTATTTGAAATAATTTTCTGAAATCATGTTTTTGGCAGAGCAAGTATGATTTAGTTTGATTATATATTTTATTTCTTAGAAATTTCTTTTTGGGGAATAATTTTTAATAATTGAATTTGTTAGTTTCATAACTAAAGTTTGTTACCTAATCATGTTAGAAATAAAACAATATATTATGAATGACTAATTTTAAAAATTTAAATTTTCCATAGCAATTTTACAGTAGCATTGAATATGACTTTAGTGATCCTTAACGAATTCTAATTGTGAGAGTTTAGGGCACAACTTTAAGCAAGAAAAAATTTTGACTGGGTGTTGACTTGCTTATGAACCAAATATAACTAAAAATATAGTAGTTTTAATGAATATAATCTCAATCAACAAATATTTTATAGGACTTAGATGTTGGGTAACTTCACCTTACAGTGACCGTTGGGTCTGAAAAGGTCTAGTTTGATGGAAGTATTAATCTATGTCAATTTATCGTTTGGGAATCATATAATTTTAAATTATGCCTTTTTTTTTTCTGATCAATGGGGGAAAAGGTTGAATAAATATGGAATAATGAGAAACAGGAGAGAGAGAGGAGAGAGAGAGAGAGAGAGAGAAGTGGAGATGGGAATCCTCTTTTAATCTTATGCTCTCTTCTTAGTATTTATAAAGAGAATCTGCTGCCTGACTAATCAATTAATTAAGTTAGAACATGAATATTTACATATACAACAAAGCCATCTCTTTCACCTTTTTAAGTGTAATGTATGCATTAGCGGTAAGCATATTAATTACTTTATCTGATTGATGAACTTTTTTTTTCTAATTATATGTTCTTAGCGAGGTTTAACAATTCATTAACGGTAAGCACAAAGAGAAAGGTGATTTGGATGCAATTGAAGAAGGTTGAAGAGGTGAGAAATTAGATTAAAGGAAATTGGTGGAGGAAATCACAAGCACGATCGAAAGAGAGAATGGCAGAGAAAAATTTTTGGCTAAAATGGGGGTTAGAAAATGATTCAATTTATTATATTTTTTTATGATCATTTGCAAAATCTAATCATTAATATGATTGCACATGAATAGATTTCTTATATTGAATATTTCAAAGTATGTATAACTCTTTATTCATAGTTTTAGGTTATTATTCATCAATCCAAAAAACTACTACAAATAATAAAAGTAAATTTTATTATCAAGTGAATATGTTGAATTAACTAATTGGTACTGATGCGTGCTATAAATTAAATTCACGGCGGTAAAGTAATAAATTATCATCTTAGCGTTGCATGAGAATCCAACATATATTGAGATGAAAGAAAAGAGAATACCACGCGGTCTGACCCAGCTGAAGAAATCTAGTATAAACTGGAGATTACAGGTACGATCCTTTATCCCACAGAAGAGAAAAGATTACACAATCTTCCGAGCAACAAAGTCAGTGCGCGGATAAACTTTTCGTAAGAAGTGGGTGACAGCCGACGAGTGGTTGGCGGTGGTCGGTAAGGAGGTGGTGTTGAATTTCAGCTCGTTCTCTAAACTTTAGTCATCTTCAAGCTTTAAGCTCGCTCTCAACATCAAGCTCCGGGTACCCTCTCAAAAGGGAGGTAGGGCTCAATTTTTAGAATCACGGTTGTCATTGAAGAAAAAATATGAATCACTTTGATTGGACAGCTCTGAGGGCTTCTTCAATGAGACAATATTTAGTGGACATAATTAGACATGAATATCGAGGTATACCAAGCTAGTTACTTTAACAACTTCTAGGCAAATTTTCTTTAATGATTAAGCTAGTAGCTCTACCAAACTAATACATAAATTGTCTAGTTTCATGGGCTTTCTCTTGGTGACTTGAACTGATGGATCTTATGATAACTTGATGATTTGGGAGGACTTCAACTTCAAAGAGCATCAAGTTATTCCAGATAAGTTGCATAGGAACCACAAAAAAAACTCAAACTTGAAGACAAATTAAGTGATAGATAAAATAGCAATAATACATCAATACCAACATAGGATAACAATTAAATTGCCAAACCAAGATAAGAAAAGATAAGATTGTAGAAAGTCACAATCAAGAAAAACCATCTTCATCATAACTCTGAGAAGGACCTGCCAAGAAGCAAAATAATAGAGAAACTGTGGATGAATTAAGCTAAAAAAAAAAGGTATTATAAAAGACTAATACCCCAAGCAAAGTTAGTAAAAATGGAAAGGCTGATAGTCATATTAACAAAAGCATACTGTAGTAAAACATCTAAAGAAAATAGATCAATATTCCAAATGTTTCCTTCCAAGGGTGGAACCTTAAGAATCTTAGTAGATGTAAGCAGTATAAGGAATGAAAAATCTATAAGGACACAACAATAAAAATGATAGATAGCAGTAGAACCTCAACCACATCTATGCAACGCATAAATTAAAAAAAAACGGCAAATTTTTCAAAGCAAACTTATTTTAAAGGGGAAAAATGAAGAAAAATTAAAATAGACATTAAGCATTGATGGCATACATGTCAACCCATGGGGCAGTGATATACTTAACTTATTTTATTTGTAATTATGTAAGGTTTTTATTTATAGTATCATTACACAAGATTTTTTGAATGAGCAGCAAAGCATAAATGGTTATTTATAATATGAACAACGGAAAATGAAAATTATGTATTTATTTTCTTATACTTCTAATATCTACATTATATTTTGAATTAATTCTAAAATCCAATACAATTATAATTTGGGATGTTTGTGTAAGTTTGATAAGATGACACATCTCAAAAATTGATTTTACTTTTCCTGTGACTTGGTGATGGCAGGTGCTATGTAGTGCAATGAAACACGCATATTAATCGTGCAAATATATACATCGATCAATTAGCCTTTAGATTATAAGTTTGTGTATTGATCCCACGATGAACGAGTCAATTCTCAAACAGGTCAAAATACTAGTCCACAAATCCTAATTTTAATTTAAAATGATGAAAATATTTGAGGTGCTATCCTTTAGCGTTGGGGTGCCTAGCTTCGAATGCAGGAATATTTTCTTCTATGAATTTTGCATGCATAAGCTCCGCTCTCTAAGCATCGAGGCACTAGTCATGGGCACCGAGGTGCTTGCCTATTAATTTAGCCCATTTAGTACTCTGAGTTCTAAATTTTCCCTATATACTATAAATAACACTACATATACCCTAAAAAAACATGATAATAATACATAAATACTATGAAAAAATACATAAATATAATGATAAATTTTGTATACATTAAGATGAGTAGCCATCATATCCTACAAAAAGGCTAAAGCTTAAAATAAGTACTAAAATTGAAGTCAATGAAAATTGTTTGAAATACCATATCAATATTGGATAATTATGGAAGATAATATCCCAAGGAATTAGTGTGATGAAGAGACATTTGCCTGAGTTCCAATGAAAAGGATAAATTTTTAACTGGGTAAGTTTGTCCAAAACTATAGAGTTGATTTAACTATTATTGTGCTTTTAACATAACATAATATCAACTGCAATATCATTTGCATAAACAAAATAAAGAAGAACATTTCAAAATGCAAAAGTATTTTAAGAAATTTATCAAAGAAATTTTGACAAATTGACAGTGTAAATTTTGTATAAAAAAATGATTTTTTACATTTTCTAATATTTTCTTATGGGGTTACTGCATTACTAAAAGGCTATGAAATATTATAGTAACATAGATTGAACAGGAATTGAAGTATAATGTTAATAAACATATGATATAAACAAGTACAAATATGTGTCTCTCTATAAGGACGATGATGGAACATAACAAAAATTACAAATATGTGCCTCCACATAATGTCTACAATGGCTCTGAAATGGAGAACATCATTCCTTATAGTGTAGTAATATGAGCCACATAAGGGCCTATGTTCTAGTAGATACTATTGTATAACATTCTATGTTGTCTTCTAATTATGTTGAAATCCATAGCTATATAAGATGCGGAATAAAAGATTATAGACAAGGCATACTAGAGGTTCACATTGAATAATGTCATAGTTAATGTGATGTTAATTGAATTATTAATAGAATAAGATGGTCCTAATGCAAAATAGTTTGTGGATGCTTACTCATTATATTTTATGATCATCCCTAATAAAAATCAAATGATACATCATGTCGAAAAAAGTGTGTAGTGCTCTACCCAAATTAATCATTGGAATACAAAACGAGTGTGTGTATAAAGTGCCCAAGATCATTCTATGTGGGGCGTTTAGGTTATCTATATGTGTGTAATTCTGCATAGATAACTTTGACCTATACAGTCATGGATGATGGGCCTACTAATAAATTATCATACATAGAGTCAACTTATATATGGTGCTAATGATGTGCATATTTGGTCTATTATCCTACATAGCTATTCAATTATTTTGGTTGTATTTTTCTGGCCAGAAGCTATGATACGAGCCCCAACCAACCTTATATGTCTATCCACTAGACTGATATGCACACCAGCAAGATCGAACCTCTGACACTAGGGGACTTAAAACTGACATAGCAGATGTCAACCAAAGAGTCGAGGAATTATACGAGCCCCGACCATTCCCGATGCGCCTGCACCGGGGGGAATATGGGTCCATAGAAAAGGACCATTGAATCCTCTACTAAGGACCATTGAATCCATAGAAAAGGCAAACATATTTGACTCTGAGTTTACCAAATATAGAATGTGGAAAACACTCTCAGTTATGTGAATGATGATATATATCTCCTAGATGGGGCTAATGGGTCCATAGAAAAGGACCATTGAATCCTCTACTAAGGACCATTGAATCCATAGAAAAGGCAAACATATTTGACTCTGAGTTTACCAAATATAGAATGTGGAAAACACTCTCAGTTATGTGAATGATGATATATATCTCCTAGATGGGGCTAATGGGTCATCGCAGCAGTATAGCCATGTTTGTCATTTCCTACCTACCCTAACTACATTACAACTTATCAATAAAGGGCCATCAACACAAACTCATAGTAGGATACCATCATAAAATAATGTGACGATCATCATATTGACAAGAAAATGTAATTTATTAGTTTGATGCGGCCATCACTAAGCAGGTGCAATTAAATATATTGATGTATCAAATATAATAAATGTTTCTAAATAGGGGCGAACTCACGCACTATGGATGGTGGGCAATAGTCCCCTAGAATTTCTGAATTTTGTTAATAAGGATGAGGCAACTCGGTCCTTTGTCCCCTTCCGCGTCGCTAAGCATTGCTTTCTGCTCAAGGCACAATCGCATGCCTCTCTCTCTCTCAGCCTCTCTAGCATGCTTAATTCGTCTTCATCCTGCTCTTCGCCCATGAGAACTTGGTATCCTCCATTGAAGCTTATCGTTCCTCTGCTCAAAGTGTTGAATTCATTCCCATGCCAGTTAAAGTTTTCCTCCTCTCTTAGAATTCCATTTGAAGAAACCACGTCGGTCCTCTGTGCTAAGTAACATAGCGTCGAGTGAAGCTTTATTTGTTATCATTTAATCTAGTTTATTACTCATCATTTGTGACTTTTAGAGAGAGAGATTGATATTAGATCTGTATTTGATTTATGTTTTTTCTTTTGTCTCTTTTTTCTTTATTTGCAAGTCTAAATGACTGCACTTTGCCTGGTTCTCCCAAGCAATTGGGTGGAAGTATCTAAAACTAACTATTTCAATGTCCTTGCAATTCAGTTTTAGTATCTACTTTATTCACAATAAATAGTTATTTATATGAGTGGGTTCCTTAGGTGCATAAGTACAATATATGAGAAGTTTAACCATCAGTGTTTTTAGGTTCACTTCAAAAAAGAAAATAAAGTTGAATGATATGAAAGTTACATTGTATATAGTCAGCTCAACAAATATACAATCACTATCATTTGTTTGGTTGAAGATTATACAACTTATACAAAATAGTGCTTTCCTAAAGTTTATCATTTAAATAACTATGGTTGACAAAAGTCAATGCTCTCTGAATAAGCTATTTATATGTTTTTTATATTTCTACGGTTGAAAATTATAGAAAAAATTCAACAGATGCCGGTTATTTCAGCATTGTTCAATTTCTTAGAAAGAGTAAAGAGATTACAACAGTAAGGAAGATATACCAGACTTGGAGGGAAAAAAAATTAACAATAAGCTGCAAAAAGCTACGGTACAAAAAAAAAAAAAAGATCATCGTGACAACAACAATTAGTCAAAAATCACTGCTGCCGCTGCTGCTGCAGTGCAGAAATTCACCAATTACCCCGTATTAATCACATTATCTACAACATCTGATATGTGATAGCCAATCCTTCCTCCAGCTCCATCCATGGATGACTTCCAAGTTTTTCTCGCCATCTCGCAGTTCAAAGACCGGAACGAAAATGAATCAAAACAGGGGAGGAGAAAATAAATGGCAAACATAGAATTAAAATAAAAAAATCTCAACCCTAACCCGGATATTCGCCGATCCCTCTCCGATCGCTTAATGCCTGAGATTAATTAGGATTCCAGCGATCACCAGCGCTCACCAGACCTGATCCTCGGCGTACCCGCGAAGCAGAGGTATGGCATCGCCGCGCCGGGGGCTCCTCCTTCCGGCACGGCGGAAATAGCAGGATCCAGAGGCCGCAAAATCGAAATTGTTAGCGGAGGCGAAGCGGAAGGCGTATGAGGACGAGATCTGACGAAGGACCTGCAGGAAGGCGGTCTCATCGCAGGGAAGGGAGAGCGGGCCGGGTTGGTGGAAGCCGTACTCCTTCTCGACCTGGTGGAGGAGATTCCGGAAGGCTGGATGGTTGAGATGCTTAACCCTGATCACGAATCTCCGGCCCATGCTCCCCACGTAAACCGCTATGTGCCCCGCCGGCACGTCAATCGCCGGCCGTGAAGGAGGCGATAACCCCATTGCCCGGATCCTCAACCGGCTTAGCATCTGCCGAAGCCTCACATTGTGCCGGATGTTGCTTCTCATACCCATCTAGAGATCGAGATGTCTCTTCTCTAGCGTTCTCTGTGATTTGCTTTGTTTAGAGAGTTCTGAATTTGTTGGGTTAGATGGGAAAAGGATGAAGTAAACAACTGGGCTACTTACAGATGCAGGGAAACTAATAAACCCATGCAATTTATTATATTAACTTTTGTTATTCTATTCATATTTTAGTACATATGATACGCGAATCATATGAGCATATTTGAATAATAGTCATTATACACAATTTCTACCAGTTCATTACTCCATCAATTAGGAGATTTTCATAAATAAAGTTGGAAACAAATTTACAAAAAAAAGATTCAATTTCATGAAAGATTATGATTTATGTGACAATGGTAAGAAGATCTAATCTTTTAAATCCTATTCTAAAAATATTCTAAATGTATTAAGTCCCTACAATTGGTTATATTAACGAAAATTACATTTTGTTAACATGTTCATGTTTCAGTACATTTGATACGTGAATTTATGAGTGTATCGGGCATAACAATCATTATACACAATTTCCACCGGCCGATTATTGCATCAATTAGGAGATTTCCATAAATAAAGTTGGAAACAAATTAAAAAAAAAATATTTGATTACATGAAAGATTACGATTTATGATGCAACGGTTAAGAAGATCTAGCCTTTTAATAATAAACCCATACAATTGAATATCTTAATGAAAACAACATTCAAATAATCGCTTTCATATTTTTGTCCCTCTTAGCGTTGGTCCGATGGAGCGTGAATCGGATGAGCTTGTCGGGGCATAATGGTCATTATACACAATTTCCACCGGCTAATTGCCGCATCAATTAGGAGATATCCATATGTAAAAAAGGAAACAAATTTTTCTACAAAAATAAATATTTGATTACATGAAAGATTACGGTTTTTGATGAAAAAGTAAGAAGATTTAGCCTTTTAATAATAAGCCCCTGCAATTGAATATATTAACGAAAACAACATTTAGATAACATCTTTCATATTTTTGTCTCTCTTAGCGTTGGTCCGATGGAGTGCGAATCGGATGAGCGTGTCGGGGCATAACGGTCATTATACACAATTTCCACCGGCTGATTGCTGCATCAATTAGGACCAAAAGTAAAAAATGAAACAATTTAAAAAAAAAAAATTTCGATTGCATGAAAGATTACGATTTATGATGCCACAGTAAGAAGATCTAGCCTTTTAAATCTTATTCTAAAAATATATGTGTATACGTATATATATATATATATATATATGTAAACATGCAATTGATTGGACACAAAATTTGAATAATATTCAAATTAAAAATTTTAAACTGAAGATACAATGAACTCTAATTCAGGAAAATTTATACTTAAACTAAACAATTCATTAAAATGAATTTATTGACACTAGAGGTGATATTATGGATTCCAAATGGGCCTAAAACAAGTTTTTATTGCATAATTAAAATTTCTATTGTCAACCTTGTGTGATTTGGCTCAAAGTAATCATATCAACATGACGAATCCAAAGAACTTATGATTATTTAATTCTGACAATATTGAACAGTTCAAAAAATATCACAAAAATAAAATACTTTTGGATTTTGCCAAAAAAAAAGCAAAACGTCACTTGATAAAAATCCAAAAATAAGCAAACAGATCTATTAGAATGGTGGCTAGAGGAGAGGAGAAAGTGAGAACTCAGAAGTTTGAAGAATCCAAATGTTCTCTGCATATCCACCATTATTGTTAAATAGTCACCATGCTAGGTGGTCTTCAATTTTCAGATTGCGACCATCATATCGATCAAATGGTCATCATTGTGTAACTATTATCACTTGACAAATATTGTTTGAGAGGTGTCATAAGACAATTGTTGTCAGATTGATATCGCCGAACCAAAACATTTTGACCATTACTCATAACCACAGACATAGAACAATCATCTGTCTGTCAGAACCAACCAATGTCATCAGAAATGTTATTACCCTTGAATGCAACCATTGATCAATTGTCACCAAACATCCACAACCATGATCACCTGACTATAGTCTAATTATCACGAACATTTTCCAATTATAACCTTCCAACCATATTGCACGATTACAACTTTTTTACCATGATCGTTTAACTATGATCTCACGACCAATAAACTTAAAACGATCACATGAACTTAGCCAAGCTACTACACCTCTCAACCATCAGTGTTTTTAGTTTCACTTCAGGAAAGAAAATAAAGTTGAATGATATGAAAGTAACATTGTATATAGTCAGCTCAACAAATATGCATTATCTATCATTTGTTTGATTGAAGATTATACATCTTGTACAAAAAGTGCATTCATAAAATTATCATTAGAGAACCACATAGTTGACAAAAGTCAATCTTATCTGAAGAGCATTGAATAAAATGAGTTAAATTGGTCACTTTCCAAGGTTAAAATTATCATCATACTTATTCCAAGTTCTACAAATTTTTTACCGAAATTGATTTTGTATTGCAATTAAATTGACTACAAATAAAATATTATTTCCAAATTATAACTTCAATTTACAACAACGTCGCATATCAAAATTATAATGATTGTGCCTGCATATATTTCTAGAATAAAATTGGTTAACATAATCAAAAGTGATACAAAATAACTATTTATATGAAGCATAATTATTTTATTTTTTTTAATTAAATGGTTGTTACCAATTTTATTCCTATTTTTTCTGAAAATTAAGACAAGTTCTCACCTTTTTTTTTTTTTTTTTTTGGGCAGGTTTGCAATTGTGGTTTGTTTTATTTCTTAAACGTTTGTAATTATTAGTTTTATATAAAACTAAGAGTTTATGATTGCACATTTTTTTCTTTTTTAATGAATATTTGTTTTATTTTTTTAGTGTTGCACAACTCTACAATTAAACCAAACTATGAAATTCAAAGCCAAGCTAAACAACACCATCCTAATTAAGGAAAACTAAATCTAGCATACCTTAGGCTAAGGTATTACCAGTTGTGCAACGGCTACATAATTAGAGTAAGAACTTGACAATAGATGCTAGGAAAAGTTAAATCATGATTAGCCGTATAAAACAAACTAAGCAAATCCTAGGATACCATTGCTGAGCTAAGCTAAATTTATACATGCTAAACTATATTACTTAGCTTAATCAAGCCAGACTGTGCCAAGCCAATCTAATCCAAGATATACAAAGTACACAACGGTAGTTCATGCAAAGCCATGCTAAGTAAAACAAGCTAAAGCAAGCCATGGCATGCTAAGTCATGACAAGCTAAGTAATATCAAGCCAAACCAAGTTTAGCCTAGCATGGAGTTGGATAACTTGGCAAATCCAAGAAACATCAACCTAAGCTAATTCAATCCAAACTAAAAGAAGCTAATTATAACTTTACTTAGCCAAACCTATCGTAGCCTAACTATGGAAAGCTGACATAAGTTGAGCAAGCCAAGCTAGCTTGAGCTAAATTAAGCTAAAAAAATTGGAGAAACAATGTCGAGGACAAGCTAAGAGAAGTTTTACGATGCATTAAAAAGTTGAACCATTGCGAGCTGATCCATGCCATGAAAAGTAATGGATAACCTTGCAAATATATTTTAAAATTCAATTTCGTTATAGGTTTATGTATTCATAATAGTTATCAATTAATCATCATGAATTCATGAATATAGAGGTGCAATAAAAAAGGTATTTTTTTATGGTTTACATATCTTAGAGCTTTTAAAAAATAACTAAAAATATAAGTTTAAGTATTCAACTTACACAGGCTTCACAAGCTCTATTCCATATTATGTTAATAATTATTTCATCTCTTTTTTTTTTTTTTTGCAGAATTTTATTCTTTAAGAAAAACATGTCCTATTTAGGGGTTGACAAAAACTAGAGAGAAAATCACTTCAAGTATTATAATAAATAATATTTAATTTTTAAAATTTTCTCCAATCTGCCTCAATTTAAAAATAAATAGTCCACAATATCCTTCAATTTAAAAAAAAAGGGGCTTTTACATGTATAGCACCCAAAAATTTCATATTTACCTGTCTCACACATAAACTTTCAAAATTACAAATATTATATGAAAACTAGCACTACTTATTACATTTTAATAGTCAAATCCATCTTTTCATCTATAGGCAAAGTGTTATGTGTGTAAAAATTAAAGTTTAGGTTTGAGCTAGGTAATTCCATAAGAATTGGGTGCTATGTTTGTAATTTTTCCTTAAAAAAAAATAGTACACAGTGTGTTTTTTTTTTTTTTTTAAATCCAATCTGTCTATATTTTCATTTAAATTTTTTGTTTTTTTTATATTTTTCTGTTTAATATTTAATTATTATTTTTTTTCTAATTTATTTTCATAGCATAAGTTATTTTAATATTCTTGTTAAAGAAATTTGATTATATTATAAATTTTTTCATGCTACTCATGTTCTATTCTTGTAAACAATTTTTTTATATAATAAATTTATGCATCATAAAAAACAAGAAGGAATCCGCACCTGCTGCTCGGATGCAAACATTTTCCCATCACTAAATGGATCTATTTATATGTTTTTTATATTACTACAGTTAAAATTTAGAGAAAAATTTCAACAAATGCCGAACAAAAGAAAACAGCAGTTCATTGTGACAGCAACAATTAGGCAAAAATCACTGTGCCGCCGCTTCTGCTGCTGCAGTTCAGAAATTAATCACATTATCTACAAGATCTGTTAGGTGATAGCCAATCCTTCCTCCAGGTACATCCATGGATGACTTCCAAGTTATTCTCGCCATCTCGCAGTTCAAAGACAGGAACGAAAATGAATCAAAACAGGGGAGGAGAAAATAAATGGTAAAATATAATTAAAATAAAAAAATCTCAACCCTAACCCGGATATTCGCCGATCCCTCTCCGATCGCTTATGCTGGAGTTTAATTTGGACTCCAGCGCTCACCAGACCTGATCCTCGGCGTACCCGCGAAGCAGAGGGATGGCATCGGCGCGCCGGGAGCTCCTCCTTCCGACACGGCGGAAATAGCAGGATCCTGAGGCCGGATAATCGAAATCTTTGGCGGAGGCGATGCGGATCGCGTAGGAGGACGAGATCTGACGAAGGACCTGCAGGAAGGCGGTCTCATCGCAGGGAAGGGAGAGCGGGCCGGGTTGGTGGAAGCCGTACTCCTTCTCGACCTGGTGGAGGAGATTCCGGAAGGCTGGATGGTTGAGATGCTTAACCCTGATCACGAATCTCCGGCCCCTGCTCCCCACGTACACCGCTATGTGCCCCGCTGGCACGTCAATCGTCGGTCGTGAAGGAGACGACAACCCCATTGCCCGGATCCTTAACCGGCGTAACATCTGCGGAAGCCTCACAATGTGCCGGATGTTGCTTCTCTTACCCATCTAGTGACCGAGATGTTTCTCTCTCTTCTCTAGGACGCTTTGTGATCAGCTTTGTTTGCTTTTGCTTGAGAGAGTTCTGAATTTGTGGAGTTAGATGAGAAGAGCGTGAAGTAAACAGCAACTGGGCTATTTATAGATGAAGGGAAAGTAATAACCCTTTTTTATTAACTTCCATTAATCTATTCATATTTTAGTACATATGATACGTAAAAGATATGAGCGTATCTGGAAATAAAGGTAATTATACATATGGCTGATTACTACATCAATTTCAAGATTTCCATAAATAAAGCTGGAAACGGATTTAAAAAAAAGAGATTCTATTACATGAAAGATGAAAGATTAAGACTTATGTGGCAACGATAAGAAGATTTAATCTTTTAAATCATATTTCAAAAATATTCTAAATGTAATAAGCCTGCAATTGATTATATTAACGAAAATCACATTCTGTTAACATGTTCATGTTCTTGTACATCTAATACGTAAATCGTATAAACGTATCAGGCCATAACGGTCATTATACACAATTTTCACTAGCCGATTACTGCATCAATTAGGAGATTTCCATAAATAAAGTTAGAAATGAATTAAAAAAAAAATTTTGATTACATGGAAGATTACGATTTATGTGACAACGGTAAGAAGATTTAATTTTTTAAAACCTATTCTAAAAATATTCTAAAAGTAATAAGCCCTGCAATTGATTATATTAACGAAAACAGCATTTTGTTAACATGTTCAAATTTTTGTACATCTGATACCTGAATGTATAAGTGTATCGGGGCATAACGGTCATTATACATAATTTTTCACTGGCTGATTAATGCATCAATTAGGAGATTTCCATAAATAAAGTTGGAAAGGAATTAAAAAAATATATATTCGATTACATGGAAGATTACGATTTATGGGGCAACGGTAAGAAGATCTAATCTCTTGAATCCTATTCTAAAAATATTCTAAAAGTAACAAGCCCCTGCAATTGATTATATTAACGAAAACAAAATTCGGTTAAATTGTTCATGTTTAAGTATGTATAATACGTGAATCGTATGAGTGTATCGGGGGCATAACGATCATTATACACAATTTCCACCGGCCGATACTGCATCAATGAGGAGATTTCCAAAAATAAAGTTGGAAACCAATGTAAAAAAAAAAAATCGATTACATGGAAGATTACGATTTATGTGGCAACGGTAAGAAGATCTAATCTTTTAAATCCTATTCAAAAAATATTCCTAAAAGTAATAAGCCCTGCAATTGATTATATTAACGAAAACAGCATTTTGTTAACATGTTCAAATTTTTGTACATCTGATACCTGAATGTATAAGTGTATCGGGGCATAACGGTCATTATACATAATTTTTCACTGGCTGATTAATGCATCAATTAGGAGATTTCCATAAATAAAGTTGGAAAGGAATTAAAAAATATATATATTCGATTACATGGAAGATTACGATTTATGGGGCAACGGTAAGAAGATCTAATCTCTTGAATCCTATTCTAAAAATATTCTAAAAGTAACAAGCCCCTGCAATTGATTATATTAACGAAAACAAAATTCGGTTAAATTGTTCATGTTTAAGTATGTATAATACGTGAATCGTATGAGTGTATCGGGGGCATAACGATCATTATACACAATTTCCACCGGCCGATACTGCATCAATGAGGAGATTTCCAAAAATAAAGTTGGAAACCAATGTAAAAAAAAAAAATCGATTACATGGAAGATTACGATTTATGTGGCAACGGTAAGAAGATCTAATCTTTTAAATCCTATTCAAAAAATATTCTAAAAGTAATAAGCCCCTGCAATTGATTATATTAACGAAAACAACATTTTGTTAACATGTTCATGGTTTTTTTACATCTGATAAATTAATCGTATAAGCATATCGGAGCATAACGGTCATTATACAAAATTTTCACCGGCTGATTACTGCATCAATTAGGAGATTTCCATAAATAAAGTTGGAAACGAATTTAAAAAATATATATATTCGATTACATGGAAGATTACGATTTATTGGGCAGCGGTAAGAAGATCTATTCTTTTGAATCTTATTCTAAAAATATTCTAAAAGTAACAAGCTCCTGCAATTGATTATATGAACGAAAATAAAATTCTTTTAAATTGTTCATGTCTAAGTATGTATAATACGCGAATCGTTTGAGCATATCGGGGCATAACGACCATTATACACAATTTCCACCGGCCGATTACTGCATCAATGAGGAGATTTCCGTAAATAAAGTCAGAAAAGAATGTAAAAAAAAATATTCGATTACATGGAAGAATACGATTTATGGGGCAACGGTGAGAAGATCTAATCTTTTGAATCCTATTCTAAAAATATTCTAAAAGTAACAAGCCGCTGCAATTGATTATATTAACGAAAACAAAATTCTTTTAAATTATTCATGTTTACGTATGTATAATACGCGAATCGTATGAGCGTGTCGGGGCATAACGACCATTATACACAATTTTCACCGGCTGATTACTGCATTAATGAGAAGATTTCCGTAAACAAAGTTGGAAACGAATGTAAAAAAAAATTTGATTACATGAAAGATTACTATTTATGTGGCAACGGTAAGAAGATCTAATCTTTTAAATCTTATTTGTTGTAAACTCGTCGTGCCGAACATTAATCGTAATTCTTCTTCCTCTTCGGACAGTTTTTCCGGAAGTGAACTTCCTTATGGCACTGAAAACACTTGTAAGATCCTTTTGTCGACTGACTTCTGCCCTTCTTTCCTTTCTTTGATCTTGATCTGCTTTGACTGTTTCTTGAGCCATTTTTGTCTGATCTTCTTCTAATGGTAAGACTGTCCCCGCTAATTTCTTCGTTCGTCTCGAGCTTCTTTTGGAGTTCTTTGGCTCTGACCAAAGATTGAACCTCTTCCAGAGAAATTGTCTGCATCCTTCCATAGAGCATTGCATCTTTGAAATGCTCGTAGCTCTTAGGAATGGAATTTAGTAGTAGCAGTGCCTTATCCTCGTCATCCATCTTAACCTCGATGTTTTCGAGATCGTCAATAATCTTGTTGAAATCGTCGATTTGTTCCGAGACTGATTTGCATCGTGCATTTTGAAAGAATATAGGCGCTGCTTCAAGAAGAGCCTGTTCGCCAGAGATTTCGTAGAGATTTCGTCTTATAGAGGACCTCAAGTTTGGCCTAAAGTGCTTGAGCCGTTGTCTCCCTTGAAACTTCCCTCAGAACCTTATCGCCAAGGCTCAGGATTATTAAGCTATGGGCCCTGTCAAGAATCCTGTTCTTTTCTTTTTCGGTCATGTCGGTCGAAAATGCCGCCGAGCCTTGCAAGGCTTCTGCAACGCCTTGCTGCACCAACAGGGCTTTTATCTTCACTCTCCACAGGCCAGTCGTTCTTTCCCGTGAACTTCTCGATGTTGAATTTTGCGGAGCCCATTGACGTGGGTGGATTCCCACAGACGGCGTCAATTGTTGTAGACTCGCCCCGCCGAACACCTGAAATGTTTCAAAAGAACTCCTACGGATTGAGTTAGGTGAGAAAGGTCCTTAATAGTTGAATTGCCAAATAAAAGTTTGCTTCACTTCCAAGAAACTGTCGAAGGAATGGCTGTTGGTTCTAAACAACGGAACACCTCCTTAGTCGAACCCTCTCTGTCGTTCTTGCGGTATGGACTACAAGAACCCTTGACTGCCGAACTCTTTTGTGATCCAAGCCGTGAACTCCTCTAGTGTCTCAAAGCCTCTGCTGCCTCACACGAGCTTCCTATCGCGGAAGGATTCCGAGCCGCGACCCTCTCGTTCCCAAACATGAACAATACTCCTGTCACGCGAATCCTCCTGGCCGAAATTCCGCCCCTGCAGGTTAATTTCTCCCTCCTGCTAACTTCTGCTGCAATTCTTGAATGTCGAGGGAGACAAAGACAACAACAAGGATAAAAACAGAAAGAAAAATTGCAGAAATGAAATGCCACAAAGAACAAGAAGATTTACGTGGTTCGGTCCTTAGACCTACATCCACAGAGGGAATAGCTACCAAATTCACTATGACAAAAGAAGAATTATAGACTCATTACATTGAGGAATCACCATGTCTTTCTAGATCTCTTTCTCTACAAGACCTCTCCCTCAATTCTAAAGCCTCTCCATTTCTTCCTCTTGCTGAATTTTCTTCCTCCTCTTGATCTTCTTGATCAGATTTTTCTATCTCCTTATGATGGTCTAAACTCCCCACAAGACCCAAGACCCCTCATCTATTTATAAGTAGACGAGGCCTTCCAAAAGGCTTGAAAATTACAAGTATGTCATTAGCCTTAATTAAGAGCCATAACATTATTAAAAAAATATTCTAAAAGAAATAAGCCTATGCAATTGATTATATTAACTAAAACAACATTTTGTTAACATGTTCATATTTTAGTACACCCGCTACGCGAATCATATAAACATATCGAGACATAACAGTCATTATACACAATTTTCACTAGCTCATTACTGCATCAATTATGAGATTTCCATAAATAAAGTTAGAAACGAATTACAAAAATAGATTCGATTACATGGAAGATTACGATTAATGTGGCAACGGTAAGAAGATCTAATCCTTTAAATCTTATTCTAAAAATATTCTAAAAGTAATAAGCCCTGCAATTGATTATATTAATGAAAATAACAATCAATTAATATGTTCATGTTTTAGTACATTTGATAAGTGAATCATACGAGTGTATTGGGGCATAACGGTCATTATACACAATTTCCACCTACTGATTACTGCATCAATTAGGAGATTTCCATAAATAAAGTTGAAAACAAATTAAAAAAAAAAAGATTCAATTACATGGAAGATTATGATTTATGTGGCAACAGATTAGAAGATCTATTCTTTTGAATCCTATTCTAAAAATATTCTACAAGTAATAAGCCCTTGCAATTGATTATATTAACGAAAACAACATTCTGTTAATTTTTTCATGTTTTAGTACATCTAATACGCGAATCGAATGAGCGTATTGGGGCATAACGATCATTATACACAATTTCTACCGACTGATTATTGCTTCAATTCAGAGATTTCC